AATTAATTATCAGTAACACTGGGTAACTGTTGCCGGAAAACACAGACCGTTTGCATACCAACACAATGATTCGAATGATATGACATTCACTTCGTCATCTGATCTTCACAAAAGCTGTAACAAGACGTGTCATGTACAGGTGAATAGTACCAAAGTAGTAAACAAGGTTGATTTTAAGGAGTTGTCTGCTTAATAGACTGTGAGACACCTCTTCTTACCCTTCCACCTATTTGCAGGAATAACAAACTCAGTCAAGTGTCTTTCAGCAATAGCTCAGTAAATACTCCTTGCCATAATTTAACAATAACTGAAATACTTTAGTTAGAGAACCATTGGTAAACCTGAGAGTATTGGACTGGCCCTTTACAAAAAAGATAACTGAGGTTCTAGTGAGAATTCAACAAGTCAGGCAAGCGGACGATTACTTGTGTATGCAACTGGCTAGCAGCTGTGGTAAATACATCTCACGAATTGGTAGAAGTTGGAATTCACGAACTATTGGATCAAGTCCCAGTGACTGAATGGTTTACCAGCAAGCCGTGTAAAAGGAAGGTATTGGGTTCCAACTCTGACAATGGTTAATCACTGCTGTGCGGCCACAAACCAAGACTAAATGGCTGTCCAAATTTTCCAGTTATCCTCTGACTGATGTCAGACCGTGATCAATCCCTTAGCTAATAAAGTCCCTGCAAACTAACACTAGAAATATGTTCATTATTCAAACAAACAAGCTAATCTTGGTCTTTGTGGAATTTCCAAATTCACAATTTGGAAATTACTTAATCGTTTTTAATTTACACAGTTCAAGGAGGCGGAATATCACCAGTGTTTCTCCTAAAAAGCTAAATTATTCAGAAAGCAATACACCGGGATCTGGTTGGTATCAGTGTATTGGTGAAATCGTATGATGGTTTATATATGACTAGCCAGAATTCAGGTATTTTGAGCTGATCTACCTCTTGGAAATAAGACATAGCCAGGTACATCTCTTATGAGGTCGACCTAAAACAAGCGAGACAGTCATCGGGTTTTTAGATCACTTCGATTTGGCTAACGGGTTGATGTGAGTGGTGTTTAACTACTCATATCAACCAATGAGTAGTGAGTAGCGCATTTACGTAGGGCAGTTAAAAGGCTGATAAAGCAAGGACTAATTGAAAATATGGATAAAAGTCCACAAGAAGCAGAAATCAATATTTACAAGTCTATATATCAGTGCCGATACACTGACTGAAGTCACGCAATACAAACTATATATATATATATATATGTTGTCAATGTTGTCAGCTCTTGTCCATCGATTTTAGATTGATCGAACTCTGCTCTATAGCGAGGCGACTTTTATGAGATCACCGGTCGGGAATCGAACTCCGAACCATGTGCCTGTTTCGTGAGTACTCTACCATTAAAATACCAACACTAATCACTGACAGCATAACGTTCTTTTTATGGCTATAATTTCTTCTGTACCCACTTTTGAATTTCTTCAGGATGCCCGTATCAAATAGAGGCTCTTCAACAAAGTCTGACCCTATATGCTCTCTATCTTAAGAGTGAAGTCTTGAAACTGTTTCACACAGTGACCTGACTAATCCTTAGTTATATTTTACCTGACAGGAACTGACATATTTTCAAGTATTAGCTTTTGTAGGGATTTAATTTTTATTGGTTGGGGCATTTCATCATGAGCTGACATCAATTAGAGAACCATTGGGGTTCGAACCCCAGCATGATGGCCGTGTACTGCTCAATAGACCCAAACTGGGCTGACAAAAATGTTGTTCAGTACTCCCTGACTAGTCTTCCAATGGTTTTCTAACCGATGTCAGCTCATGATGAAATCTTCTAACCAAAGAAACTGATATAGTTGAAACATTGTCTTGTTGTTTTGAAGAGATGTGATTGCTAATCCCATGCTCGATCGCCCCTCTTTTCCGGGCCCGTTAACGTCTAGAATTCTGGTTGAGATTTAGGTGTCAGTTGGAGGGGAATAAAACTTCCACTTACGTACGTGGCCGGCAGCCATAGTATTTTCGTGAAACTATCGATTTTTGTAATTATTATAGTCCCCCGAAACTTCAAATTAAGAATTCATGTAATCTAGATATCATGTGTAAAGTGTGTATTCAATATTCGTTTTATGTACATGAAACTGCCCAGATTTTTCATCAGAAATGTACTTTCTTCGTGAAGTTTGCTAGCGCACACACGCACACTCACTCTGATATCCCACTGAAGATCTGAGAAAACCTTTAGACGCTGTGGATTAGTCGAATAATAGTAATAAGTTTGTGGAATAGTGTTTATTATAAATGAATTTAGTGAATGGTAACTAGCAGTAGAGTCCATAGTGCTTATTTTGTCCTATTTTGGACTCGTCAGCCGGATGTGCATGTGATCCCCACTGGTTGTTCGTACTCCCGGGAGGTATCGTTTCAGAATTCACAGTTATCCAGTAGACAACTTGGTCAACGAGAGCTTTTGAGACGACGGGTACTGGGTAACAGTCTCACTCACTTATAATTGCAGGCACATCCATCTGATAAGTCCTAAGTAAAACGAAATGTGCATCCTGGATTCCACTGCTAGTCATCACGCACCAAATTACATCATATCAATCTCTAGACATTCGCAAAGCATCCGTACTAGGAGCCAGAATGTTAACATAGTTGAACATTTTAGTCTAATAAAAACATAGACAATAAATCGATGAACTCAGCCAAAACTGATGAACAACTTAAAGGAATTCGTGGCCAGAAATCAAGCGTAAATGAATATGATTGTTTCAATATTCTGTTTCAATGCACGCAGAGGAAAATAAGTGAATGAATGCATCAGCAAAAAAACAAACATTACCCATATAGAAGATCTGTTGAATAAGGTCTTTGAGATTGACACATACTAGCAAAGTTTCAACGCATAAATTATCCCAAGATTTTAGATGTGTCATTTCTATGAAAATTACCAACCATAAAACCTAAGTCAAGGTTTTATGATTTATGGACAGCTGGGAAAATAGTGCTCTCGATACATTCACCTAATCCTACTCCAAAAATATGGTAAAGATATGTGGATGACAGTTTCACAGTGTTAAAAACAGACACACATAAATTCACTAGTCGAGGGAATAAAATTCATATTTGAATCAGAAAATGAACAAGGAGAATTAGCTGTGTTGTTAGATTGTAAAATAAAACGAATAGAAGAAGGCAAACTACACACTAGTGTTTATAGAAAACGAACGCATTCTAATATTGGATATTTAGACTTTAATTCATCCTATTCGTTAACTGTTAAGGCAGGCTTAATTAAGTGCCTAACAAACAGATCAATAGCACTAAGTGACACAAGATAAGACCTAAACGATGAAATGAAGCAGCTAGAAGAAGAGGCGTTGGTTTTAAATAACTAACTATCCTATAGAATTCATTAGGAATATCTGTAAAGGTCAAAAGCCAAATAAAAATAATTGTGGAACTATTAATAATAACATAAATAAGAGAGAATATAAGTCATCCACTGTTATACCATATAAAGAGGAGACATCTAAGACCCTACGTAGGATGGCACTCAAACCTACAAACTGACTCAGAGACAGGCTCTGTAGGCTAAAAGACCCGTTGGTCTTAATTAGACAAAATAATATAATTTACAAAATACCTTGCAATGACTGTGAGGTCGACTGTATAGGTCACACTAGTAGATCGTGGGTAATCAGATTGTCGGAACATGATAATTTAGCTTAGGTAAGAATGATTGCCCCCACCTGTGAAGATAAGTAATTTAGAAAAAAGCTCAGCAATTGCACTTCACGCATTAACACACAACGACGCAATAAGTTGGTGGGAGAGGGTTAAGATTCTAAGAAGTAATCTATGTTGAGGGAGAGAGAGATTGATTACTGAATCCTGACTGGTTCATCGAGTCCACGCTCAACACAACACATGCAACAGAAATGACTCAATGCAAATACTAGAGATACGCATTGAAGATATAATTACCACCAGTCAGTCAAGTCAGAGGAGGATAATAAATAATCTTAAAGTTCTATTTCAATTCAAGCACATCACAACATTCTAACAAGTTACTTATTACTGATGACTATAAAGATACTCGTCCTATTTCCCATCTCATGTTAATTGATCAATAACACTCATATTATTATCATTTCTGAATGCACATTACCCCCTATTGATTTTTATTTCAATATCTAGTCAATTCCAGTCATGTATATAAATGAAGTAAAACGTTATGTGTGAGTAAGCGGCTTGATCTGATTATGAGTGGCGACACTGTGCTTGAAAGGTGGTCATCAGTTAATACTACTGTACAACACTCTGTGATTTATCAAAATAAAATCTTATCCATAATGCAGTTATACTTCTACCACCACAGTGCCCAAGTTTTATACTTGTATCAAGTCAAGGATGATATCTTACAGAAACTATATTCACTACAGTAGTTCTGAAGGTTAATTGAAGCTTGAATAGCATGGTAGTAAGGTCTCTAAATGCAGTATTTAATGACATAGATTCCAAATTTTGAGCCGTTGCGTATATGCCCTGCTGATAAGTGCAGATGAGCACAGAATCAAGGTCTAAGACTTTATTCTCATCGCCTCTTTTTTTATATTTATTTTTGTCCTTCACGTTCCCAGTGGAATATAGGGCACCTTCAAGCTACTGGCTTGAAGTTTCTGTAGCAGTGGGCTTTATTTTTACAGGATGGGGTTGCTAGCCAGCCTCATGCCCAACCTTTCCTCTTTACCAGCATTATTTCTGGTTTAGCGAGGTAAAGGTAAACGTTGGCGGCCGCGAATCGAACCCTGGACTATATGCATAGTTGGTGAGCGTCCTAACCACTATACCACTATCGCACCCATCGTCTCTAAACACCTAATATTATATGCATATATGTATATATGACTTTGCATTTGCGATCCTCCTTATGCCCCTCTCATTGTGCTTTTCCTTTCTGAAATCCTGTTTTTTATCTTCTAGTGAACCCAGTGTCTTAATCACACCGTTTGCTCAAATTCTAGCCATTTTAAATCGTGCAAGAGACTTCTTGTCCAGTTATACTTCAAGGTGAGTTTTTAAGAGAAATGCCATGCATTCGTCTTGTGTGTTTTTTGCAGTTGTGTTGATTATTGTCGGAATGTAGTCTGCATCTGTTCACCAACCACCTAGTGGTAATTATTTTATCATTTTAGACTGTAGAATTTGTCGTGATTTGAATTAATTCCATATTAGTCTGTTTAGCATATGTATCACACAGTGAGTGTAACAGTATTATTTACTGGATGACAAAGTTTCGAACACAATTTATTACTGTTCATAATCATGTCGTCAATTATAATCACACGACTTCGAAACTTGAGTTTCATAGTTTTCTTTGTCTTCTCCTATTTGTCGTCTTAGGGGTAGTAGTAGAATTTTCCAGATATCTGGGTAGAAGGGTGTTGAATCATTCCTATTACACACATGTTGGCTTGCAGTTGATTCGATAAACAAAGCTTCCATTATCAATCTCTCCCTCAATTCATTCTGTAACATAAGATTTTAAAACTGTCATCTCTTCCCCATCTTATTGTATGGTTGTGTGTCACTGCATGTGGTGAGTGCTGTAGCTGAATTTTTCTCTAGATTTCTAATCTTATTTGGGTCAACCAATCTAGATTTTGCTGCTAGATTTTTATGCTTGGCTAGTCTGAGAGTCATTGCAGGCAGGGTATTAGATAAACTCACTAGTTTTGTTTTAAAGGCTCCACAGGATTGATCCTTTAACCGATAAAGCTTGTTTCTAATTGAAATTGTGGGATGATTTGAATTCCACTTTTATTCCTGCCTTGTTAAAGGATCCTGTGGAGAAAATTAAACAGACAATCTAGTTTATCTAATACATTGCTGGAATGGTTTTCAGGTCAAATACATAGCTCAAAGTAATAGAATGACATCAGTCGGTCAGACTAGCCGAGCATAAAAATCTAGCAGCAAAATCTAGATTGGTTGACCCGAATAAGATAAGAAATTTAGAGAATAGTTCAGCTATACCACTCACTACATGCAATCACACACAACCATACAATAGGCTGGATGGGATAAGATGAAAGTTTGGAAATCTAATCTAACAGCAGGCTGGAGGGAGAGATTGATAATGGAAGCTTTGTTTATCGAATCAACTGCAAGCCAACATGTGTGTAATAGGAATGATTCAACACCCTTCTACCCAGATATCTGGAAAATTCTACTACTACCCCTAAGACGACAAATAGGAGAAGACAAAGAAAACTATGAAACTCAAGTTTCGAAGTCGTGTGATTATAATTGACGACATGATTATGAACAGTAATAAATTGTGTTCGAAACTTTGTCATCCAGTAAATAATACTGTTACACTCACTGTGTGATACATCTAATAAACAAACTAATATGGAATTACTTACTACCACTGTGTCCAAGTTTTACACATATATTGATTTGAATTTATTTCACTTGTTAGATATCACTGTGAATATACAACATTTAGAGATCAGTGATATCCAAGGAGGACTAGATATCACTTTCGTTTTGATTTGGGACTCTTCAACACTAAGTATCCACAAACCTACTGAGCATTAGACTCAGGAACCTCAAATTACAGGACCAAGCTCAGTGGCCATTCATTTTCGACTTATTCAGTTCGTGACATTGTGGACAGCAGTGGTGACAACTTCTGACTACAGCTTTAATAGCCATCAATGAGTCATCGTTGTCAAGGTAGATGGAATACTGGTTGATGCTATTGATTGAGGGGGTGCTATATCACGAGCTTGGTTACGTAATTTCAAGCTTCTGGGTCATGGGTGCTTAGTGATGAAGAGGCCCAAACTGGGACGAAAGGATTGGTTCTCATGGATCTGTAACTGATGTTGTTCCATGACGAAATCTAACAAAAAATGTAACATCATTTCAGGTTATGAGTGAGTAAATGAATGATGCAAATAAGTGCTGACGATACTGTCTAGTAGGATAAGAAAACATTTGTGATGAAAAATATCAGAACTTTGAAAACACTAATTAGGCGGCGGCGGCAGCAGCAATGTGAAAACTACAAAGTAAGATGAAAAGAGTAATGAGTTTCAGTCAACAGAATACTGAAATTTTGCACTAAAACCATCACAAACTAAAAGTGTTAGTAATCAGAATAAGAAAATCAAAAAGACACTTAGTCAAAGAGTGTCCGATGATAGGTGCAATTGTGAACACACACACACATCTTTTCGTCTTGACTAAATACATAAATTAAAATGGTTGTACTATGATGAGTGTTACTTATATTCAGATATAAGTAGTATACCATTAAACGAGTTTTTGAAAAGCAACAATATATTTCCGACACTGGAGAAAGCAGTCGAAGAACAGAACTGTGTGAGAAGAACGTTAGAAACACTGTGTAGAGCCCAAAGAGCTATCAAATCTGGTGATATTAGTCCGACTTGCAAATGATGTGCAAATAAAGCATTGGAGATTTAGTATACCAAAATAATGTATGTGCAATCAGCCATCAGACCTATTTGGTGTTGTATCGCTTACATCACAAGTTTCCATGTTCATAAGTGGTGCTTTTCACCCTTGACTGGTTAACCAGCTCGCCAGTTATCTAACAGCTCCGAAGGGCAAATTAGGCCTGTGCAAGAGCTGACTGGTGTGGATTATTGCTCACGTCAAATAAGAAACTAGGTCGCACCAACCTGGAGAGAGAAAAAAGGATTCACTGGGCACTTAACTATGCTGGCCTAGCCGAAACTGGCTGGATTCAGGAAAGGCAAATCATTTACTGATCAAATTGCAACTCTACGCATCGTCGTCGAACACAGCCTAGAATAGAATAGAATGGCAATCAAACCTCTGCTTCAACTTCAATCACCTCGAAAAAGCCTTCGACAGACAACATCGATACTACGGCTTAACTCAAGTCTTTGTCAACTTCATTCAGCAGCCGGCTATATGACAGTGCCACGTGTCAAGTAATCCACAACGGAAAACTCAGAGAGGCGTTTGAAGTGCATACAAGAGTGAGACAGGGATGATATTCTCAATTCTGGTGAACTGGATTATGCGTTTGTTTCCTGTTCACGGTTAGAGTGTCAGTTGAGCGTTAGGAGGTTGTAGAGGTTCAGTTGGTCGTTGGGTTCTTTTTACAATGTCGGGTGAATGCTTCAATTGTGGACGTTCTGGTCATTTTGCTCGTGACTGTCAATCAGGGTCAAGAGATGTTAGAGGGGGCGGTGGTTATCGTGGTGGACGTGGCGGTGGTGGCGGCGGAGGTGGACGCGACCGTGACTAAAATGAACCTCGTCGAAACATGTGTTACTACTGTGGTGGGACGGGACATTTTGCACGAGATTGTACTAATGGAAGACGAGAAGGCGACGGCTCATATAATAATGGTGGTGGTAGTGGACGTGATTGCTACAACTGTGGCGAGCCAGGCCACATCTCTCGAGACTGCCCAAATAATGATCGGAGAAATGACTCAAGTGGTCCAAAATGTTTCAGGTGTATTAAGTACGGTCATATCGCGCTAGATTGCACAGAAAGTGGAGGTTCTGGCCCGCAGTGCTATAAATGTCAAGGCTTTGGTCACATAGCAAGCCGATGCAACGTGGAAGCATGAGTGGGATACATGGGATTGACTTTGTTGTAGTGTTTCATACCCGCAATCACTGTTTCTCTTCGCAATCACTGTGTGGTGAATGCATTAAACTGAATTTATGCTAGAAGATCTGAATTTCACGTGTGGATGATATATATGTCTAATGTCACAAAAACTCGAAGACTTACAGACAGGCGAAAACCAACAAACTGGCTGAAGAGGCTGACAGCGAAGATAGGACTCAAGGTGAACATAGACAGGACAGAGGGGATGACGATAATCAATGAAACACAACAGCAACAACAACAACAACAACAACCAGCACCAATCACCATCAACGCGAGAGATTTAACTTCCTTCCTTCACTTATCTGGCCAGGAAGCATCGTCTGAATAACCACAGTCACCGGAACGGACAAAGATGTCAAAGCCAGTCAGTCAGATTCAGAAAGGCAAGGTTCACCTTCTTCAACCTGATACCACCAGCTTATAAATCTTCCGCACTCAGGTAGCAAAGGGAACAAGATTCAGATTTTCAACACCAATGTCAAGTTGGTCAGTGTGCTTCTCTACAGGTCAGAAACTTGGCCAGCGTGTCACGAAAAGGATTTCCAACAGCATGTCGCCGACTTTTATCAACAGCTGCTCTCTTCGATGGCTCCATACTGAAGATAAAATGGTCGGCTGGACAGAAACAATTAGTAACAAGAAACTCTGGCTGGCAACAAACCAACAACCAAGAGCCGATTGCTCAAAAAAATAACGCCGGAGAAAGTGGAGATGGATTGGGCATACACTGAGGAGGCTGCCGAATGACATCGCGCGCAATGCAGGACATCACTATAGTGGAATTCAAGTAGGAAGAGACGAGTGTATCATCCTAGGGTGACATGGTCGGGGGTGGGTGCCTTGCGCTGCGGGTTGGCCACCCCTCCGCACACCTCTTGAAATGCTCCCATATGACCGGGCGTCTTACATAGCCTCTCCTGAGGAAGTCCTACTCACTGCCTTCACGTGGCGGAGGTGTTTCTCACCAAAGTGAGAGGGCGAAAGCGGATGCCCGGCGCTCTCCACCGGGTTGACTGTCCATTGGATGATGGTCTAGGGGAGATGGCTAAACCCTGATTCCAAACCTCCAACGACTGGCGTATGAAGCTCACCGGAGCTCACCGGCAGACGTATGGACAAAGGGCTTGTTGGATGTCCTGGATGTCTGGCTCCATTCAAAAAGGCGTATGAACCGAACTCCGGTCACCGGCTGCCAATGGATAGTGGACTCCTTACTCCACTCCTACTGCCTTGTAGGTCACACTTGGCTGTGTAAAGGCTAGAGCTGCACTCTCAAACAAAAGGCCGAGCGATGCTGGGGACATCACTTGTACCAAATTCCCATGAAACTTCATGAACTCTCTTACAAATTGCCACGCCTGGGCAGCGACGATTCGAGACGTTCATGAAGCCGGCTCATCCTCCCGTAGGAGATAGCCGAAGTAAAGTAAAGTAAAAAGTAAGTACATGAAGATTGTACAACAAGGAAAGAGATGAGAGAGTTTGGTAAATCATGGACCCAGATGAAGAGAACGGTAGAAAACAGAACAAAGTGGAGATGTGTTGTTGAAGCCAGCCCTATGCTCCATTCAGAATGGAAGCAAATAATAATAATAATTTTGTTGCGTTTCAAATAGAACATAAGACTGTCAGCTTTAAGTCTTAGTAGGAGCGGCTTTGTTTCGTTTCAGGTGGCTGTTGTTAGCCTCTTTTCCGAGACTACTTTAGTCCAGAAGATATTTAGGAGTGTATCAACCGACGGTTAAATCTGGAGCATTTTCACTGCTGGCGAACATTTCATCATTCAGTCACTGACACTGGATTAACTCTTACAACAGTAAAATACGTCCACAGTGACAAACAATAAATGATTATTAGTCAAAATTCTCAAGCTTTTGAAAAAAGGGATATATGCCCAGTATTTATAAATGCCTCCTCTAATGACCATTACTCATAACCATATTGACTTCAGACTAAAATCAGTTACACATGACTGACTGGTATTTAAGTAGCTCAACTCTTATCAAGTTTAACGCTTTAAAGAGGTACTTATCATACTCTATTATGCCTATCTCGATAATTTTACCAGTAAACTGTTCATGTTCAGATAAACCCTTTTGCGGGACTGATTGTCTCACATTTGAACCAACTAGAGGAGAACCTAATTCCATACCTTCTAGCAGACTAACTCTTATGATATAAAGACGCACTAATTTGGGCCGCAACCTTCTATCACTGAGCTTAGCCAACGTATTGCATACTTGATTCCCAGATGCTGACCATTACACATAGCGAAATGGCTGCCCAAATCACCATGAGACAACCAATTCGTGTACCACCTGTAACTAATTCAAACAATCTACTACCCCACACTTAACAGTTATCATAACTTCCTCCTTTATAGGAGAATATATAACACAGAGGCACTTTTCACTTCAAAATAAATAACAATTCAGATTTGTGTGATAATTAGTGAGTTTCTACTGCTTTTATTTCGTGTTTTTTTTTGATCTTGTAGTTCACCTTTGCATTCAAATAATTCCAATATGTTTGAAATGAGATCGCCTAAAAAGAGTTCAGAAACTGATGAAAAATATATTGGTAAGTGAATTAATGTGGTTTCTTTTACCTTTTGAACACTTTTTGAATGTGATTTTTATTTTAAAAGTCGGCCTCATCATAAAATAACATTAGACAGTGAGTAGAATACTGAAATTCAACAAAATACCGACCACATGATGTACAAACATGTCTACTTCTATAATCACAAAAGACAAGGGACAGGCAATAGATCCCTTATTGAGAAAATCAACAGGTATTTATAGCTTTTTATGTACATTATTAGTCGTTATTGTTAGCAGAGAAATAATGTCTTCTGATTGGTTGTTTTCTTGCTCGAGGTTATTCTGTCATCTTTTTGTTGGCATTTCTTAGACAGTCCAGTCATATATCGATTAATCGTATGCTGCCCACACAAAGTCTGCTGTGATTGGTTGTTGAGTTCCTCAAGGTTAGTCTTTGTTTTTTCCTCTCATGCCCCTTACTTGAGACGTAAACACTGACGTCAATTGCTGTCTACCCATTTTGGATAGCAGATAGCTCTAACCACACTGCAATTTCTGCGTTCTAGTGTTCTCTGAGCTAGATTATTTAGTGGTGATGCTTTCATTCAAAATTCAATGCTGAAGATGTTGTCTAGTAGGATAATGAAAGGTTTGGAAATTAACCATCCATTTTAATGGACGTATCTCCCCTAGCATATTACAATTTTTAGGCTTTGTTGTAATGAATGTAAGTACCCGAATTTGTTAGTTCGTTTATACTGTTACCTCAACACCGACTCGAATACTATTCCCACTTTAGAAAAGACGCGATGGACTGACGGAGACGGCAAAGGTTTATTACTCCTCTGGTTCCAACAGATTTTTATACAAATTACATAAATATACATAGCCATTGAGGGCCAATTAGTCTTTCTCTTACTAAGACAAATTTTCAATGATCAACTTACTTGGAGCTGAAAAGTAATGAGAACTAATTTCTGAAATTAACAGACCCTTTCAGATATGAATAGGGCTGATTTTGGATCTACAACCATTACCACAATGTCATGTGGCGACCATATTACTGATTCGTTGTTGAGTTTTAGTGACTTTTTTGGTATTAGATGGTTGGAGGCAATCGGCAAGGTTTCGTGCTAGCTGACACTCATCAGCAAGACATATCTGCAACTTCGAAAGAACTCAAGTCCTTTCTGAGATTCGAACCCGCGTCACGCAGTGAGGCCTGCAGTCAGAGACGTTACCACTGAGCTATTCAGGCTAGCGATTCTAGTGACTTTATTAAGCCCTTATGGTGAGGCAAAGATCGAGGAGTTCACCTTTCTGTTGACGCTGTATGTCTGTCACCAAATTACATTGCATCATAATGTACCACAACTGCAATACAGATGCTGATCAGCACCAAGAATCAGGCATTCTACTTCCTGATGACTATCACTCATAAGTGAACTTCAAGATGGCAGATACACCTTGCGGACGAGTACTGGCAAGTACGGAACCTAGGTTCAGGGCTTCATTCTGATCGCCTCCAACTGTCTTATGAAAGCAATCCTGGGTGTGCCATGATTTCGAGCTACCTAACATGGTGGCCACATGACAAACTCAACTGTGATAGAATTCAGTCTGCAGCAAACAAACGTCTGGACGCATGACCTTGCTCAGTGTCCAATCAAAGAACTTTATCTATCCTCAGGAAAAAATGACAATATAACTAGTTAATTTTGTTAATCAGGTGATCCTAACCTTCTAGAGTCACAACTGAAAGAATAAGATCAATTAAGTAACACGCGTGGTCGGATTATACAAAACTGAAATGACTTAAGTCTAATTATTATTAGAAGACGTTACATGATATGATTGGTCATTGGTTTTAATAGACCAATTCAAAATACGCCCACACAATGATGCAACAACCAATCATGTAGTAGTAAGCTAAGCTATTGCACGTCTTTTTGTGAATCCATACTAGCAGTGATATCTAGGAATGGATTGATCGCTGATTAAATCTCAGAACGGATACAGAAGGCTCGTTTTGCATATGCCAGTTTACACTATCCTCCTGTATGGATGGCTGTGAGACCTGGTTATTGAGAGCAGAGGAAACGAAACGCCTAGCCGGTTATCTTTGATCACAGCTGCCTGCATTCTGTCTCCTGTGTTAAGTGGTGGTATAATAGGGTGAGCAATATTGAGGTTAGGCATTGGTTGAGTGAGTGTTAGATAAGGAGGGGAAATCGATCGACGAGTCTGTGAAGTTACATCAATTGAGATGGTTAGGAAGTGTGTTACGCATGAATCTCTAGCCATCGATCTCCTCCCTTGACCGACAATGTTAGCTGACTGACACGGGGTCAGTTTGGAAAAGAGCTAGCCAGTGGTGGTCTAACCAAAATATGGCTTCATCAGTCAGTGAAATCCACAACAGTTAGTTTAAGGCAGTCACATAAGAAGGTGTAGACTGCCTGTCTACCTGGTTGGAGTCTTCGAGACGGTAAGCACCAATGAAGGCTGGATAAAATCGGTGATATGGCTCAAACTCATCGTTCTTAATGGCCGGCATAGATGCATCCACTCCTTGTGACTTATAACACCAAATAAAGCCATATCGTTCTTCGATGTTACTATTCCTTTCGCCTTATAACTCTGTTTATTGTCTCTATTTTGCATTTTGAACTGCTACACGTCTGTGTAAAGTTCTATGTTAAAACCGGTCAATCAGTCAGTCATTGATATCTAGGATGACAGTTAAACGACAGCTTACTAAAACTCAAGTTCATAGAAAACAATTAACTTTTGAATAAAACTTAAAGAAACTCTTCCTATTAAATAATTATTTACATTTTTAAAATCAATATAATCACTGTTAAACTGAATTATCGTATGATCAGTTGACAAATAATTATGGAGTCATTAAGTAAAGTGCATTTTGCATTGATTCACTCTTCTAATGAATATGATATATGCAAATCAATAAATCAATTTTCTCCCATTTTGATTCTTTCTTTGTTGTTTTTCAAAAAATTTTAGATTATCTGCATCGATTTGATGTACATTATGTGAATGATCTATTGAGTGAATTCGATTGGTGTCTTGAAGTATTAGAGAGCCTGCAGTGTAAATGTTCTGTGAGCAGTTTAACTCGAATGAAGGTAAGAATTAAAACAAAAAGAGAGTTGATTACTACTCTATCTCTCTTTGTCTCACTATGTATCTCATATATTGACATTCACGCACTATTTGGTAGTGAAAAGGAATGTCTGTCATTTTTATTTGTAAGTGTTGGTTTGCAGATTAGTTGGAATACAGTGGATGACTTTAATTATTATTATTATTAATATTAATATTATTGTTCCCTTGGGTTCCCAGTAGAAAATAGGGCTTCAACTGCACGTCTCCACTGATGTACTTATCACCTCCATCCATGTTAGTTAGTCCATACTGTTTCAACTCCTCCTCTTCACATGATCTCCTCCACATCCCACTCGCCGCTTCCCATTCTGTTGGGTACCACTCGAGCAATGGCCTGAGGCGCACGCGATGTCACCTCAGCGAGTGAGTGTCCAATGTGTCATATCGACTTTCTCCAGCATATTTGTTGGTTGGCGATTGATTCTTGTTCTGTTTGTTTGTTCTCATAGTTTCCGATAGTTGGTGATTCTTTCCGGCCCGGCCATCTGATCTTCAGTATAGAGCCACCGAAGACAGTTGTTGGTTGATAAAGGTCTGCAACAGGCTGTTGGAAATATTCTTTGTGACCCACCTGCCAAGTTTCTGATCCGTATAGAAGAACTGATTGACTTCACGTTGTTTGTATTGAAAATCCGACCGAATTTTGTTGTTGATGCTGGCTGAGTGGCGAAGATTTCCAGATTGATTTCACGTTGATGATGAATGTGTTTCTCGCTAGCCTACCCGATTCTCGCTCGATTTGACATCCTCGTCCGTTCCGACTTCCTGTAGTTGAGACAATCCTCCCTAGATAAGCGAATGAATGAAGTAACCTCTTTCAAATCCCTCCCGTTGATAGTGATTGGCGCTGGATGTTGCTGTTGTTGTTGTTGTTGGTTGGTTAGTTATTTTCATAACCTTCATCTTGTCTATGTTCATCTGGAGTCCTGTCTTCGCCGGCTGCTTATTCGACCAGTTGGATGACTTTAAACGCCTTGATAATCTTGACTACTCTATGTTCAGTAGCTAGAAGATTACTATTATTATTCCATGTCTTCCGAATGGAACATAGATCTTCAACAACACATCTTCACTTTGTCCTATCTTCTGCCATCCTCTTCAACTTGGATAACAGTTGCCCACAATCTCTTATCTCCTTCTCACATTGTCGCCTCCATATCACCCTCACACTGATGACCCACTCGCCGCTTCCACTCGATTGATAGCCTGTATTGCGCGCGATGTCATTTGGCTTGGCATCCTCAGCAATATGCCTGACCCATCTCTATTTTCTCATACATATTTGTCGGACGATCGGCTCATCGTTGGTTTTTTCCCAGCCAGAATTTCTTGTTACTAATTGTTTCTATTCGGCTGACCATTCGATCTACAGTATGGAGCCAGCAAAGCTGGCAGCCGTTGTTAAAAGTCGGCAACTGACTGTTGGAAGTCCTTTTCGTGATATGTTGGTCAAGTTTTTGGCCCATTTAGAAGCACTGATCGACTTCATAGTGGTGTTGAAAATCCAGATCTTGCCCCATATGTTGAGTGTGGAAGATTTCCAAACTGATTTCAGGCTGATGAAGGCGTATCTTGCCTGTCCTTCCGATTCGGACTTTTACATCTTCGTCCGTTCCGACTGCCTGTACTTGAAACGATGCTTCCTAGATAATTGACGGTAGGAGGCAACCTTTGTCAAATCTCTCCCTCTGATGGTAGTTGGTGCTGGCAGTGGTTTTTGTTGCTGTTGCAGTTCGTTGGTTATCTCCATCACTTCTGTCTTCTCTGTGTTCACCTGCAGTCCTGCATTCTCTGGCTGCCTCCCCAGCCAGTTTGTTAGTTTTCGCTTGCACGTCTTCGAGTTTTTTTTTGATAGTAAACAGATATCATCTGCGAAATCCAGATCTTCTAGAGTCTTCTAATCGGTCGTCCAACGTATTCCTGTCTCCTCGCTCGCTACACACTGTCTGACGCATAATCCAGTCTACTACAATTAAGAATATCATCAGTGGTAATAGGCAGTCAGCCCTGTGAGCCTCTCTGAGTTTTCCGTTGTCGATCACTTGACACATGGTATTGTCAAATAGCCAGCTGTTGAATGAGGTTGACAAAGACTTGAGGCACGCCATAGTTTTCAAATTATGCAGAATCCTGTGAATAATTCTCTGTTCTCATTCATTTCTCCGAAAGACAGTCTCTCGACCCATGATGCGTTCTCTCCCTGTATTATCTCCTCTTAGTTTTGCACTCATATCGCCCATGAGGATTGTGATGTCACCATTTGGGATGTTGTTGTCCATTGCTGTTTGTAGTTGTCTGTGAAAATCCTCCTTCTTTTCTTGTCCCGCGTTGTTCCTTACATTGTGCGCAGCATTGGATAATTGTTACCTTCGTTCCTTCGGAGTTGAATCTAGCTGTCATGATCCTGGATGATATTGGTTCCCACTCTATTAGGGCTTTGGCTGCCACTGGTGACATCATAATAGCCACTCATTACCTCAGTATGTTCGTGGTTGTCATCTGGGTGACCGCAGTAGATTACTGACTCTCCAGTTGACAATGTTGTCATTCCACATCCATTCCATCTACAACCTCAGACACCCAGTACTTTGAGGCCACATCTTCGAATCTATTTGGCTACCTAGTCAGCCTTCCCAGCCAGTCTCGTAGTCTTTACGGACATTCCCCGCACCCATGCTTACTCTTGCTTTCATCCAGAGAAGACACATCATCTGGCTGACTGGCTTCCTGAAGGCTTTCACCAGCCCGCTGTGTCATTTCACCTCCCCGACTTGAGCTCTTTTCCAGCTTGGTACATCCTATGTCAGTGGCTGACATTGCCCATTGTCAAGGAAGGCGATCAATGGCTAGGCATACATGCGTAACGCACGTCCTAACCATCTCAATTGACGTAACTTCACAGCCTCGTTGATTGATTTCCCCTCCTTAACTAGCACTCACTCGACTAATGCTTAACCTCAATATTGCTCACCCTATTTTATCACCACCTGACACGGGGGATAGAACTCAGGCAACGATGATCAAAGACAACCGGCTAGGCGTTTCGTGTCCTCTACTCTCAATAGCCAGGCCTTACAGATATAAAGGAGGAGGGATTGGAATTCTGAGCAGTACACAATGTCCTTTGGTCGACAGCCAGCCAGCTGGATATCACATCTACTCCAGAGACAGTGTAAACTGGCATATGCAAAACGAGCCTTCTGTATTCCAGCTGAGATTTCGTCAGTGGTCAACCCTTCGCTAGGAATCACTGCAGTCTAGTCCTGTAGCATCATCTTTCATTTGACTGACAGAAGCGAATCGCATGCCAAACATTCGAAGATTGCAGCTCAAGGTGTTCAGAAGACTCTGCTGAATTTTGTCAGTGTCTCCACCTCGGAGGAAGGATTATATCGTCTGCATATTCTAAGTCAACTAGACTATTATTCCCTGGTGGTAACAAGTCACTCCTTGAGTAGCTGAAGTCATTTAGAGTTAAGTTCATTAGTACCTGTCTGATATAGTCATCTAATATTCGATTCTTTATCATACATAGTAAATCAGAAGGATTAAGAAACGTGTATTATCTTTACCACAAGGTCTAACTTCCTCTAAGCGTTCGATTCTGAATAAAGTATTGATAAATCTTAAATTATCAAAATATAGAGAACAACGCCTTTCAATATTCACAGTTCCTAGTATAAATCTTTATTATATATTCTTGTCTCTGATCATGATTTAAATATTTTCTTCATGTGGAAATATTTTTCCAACTCCCTAGAGGTTGGCAGACGCCTACATACATAGTATTAGGCGTAATTCAGATCCGCTGTTATTGTGAAAAAACAAAGATGGATTAGACTGTAGGATGAAAGCAGACTAAAATTTTTTTAAATCATTGGCTAGAAGATGATTCCATAGAATTCGGTAATTAAGAAGACAGAAGAGAGTATTTTACAGGAGCAAAGATGAGAGAAATTTTAAAATTCTACGCATTAGGCTAAACTCTGCATAGCTAGAAGAAAATGACGTAAACATTCTTATTGGTAATTCAATTTACAGATATTACTCAAATTTTTAATCTCTTAAACCATACATACTAACTAACACCAATGGGAATTTAATCTGCCCTTTTCCGATGATGCAAAAATTAAAAGGCTCCTGTAAAATTTCATAAAACTTGGAGCATCTGGACTTCGCCGATGATATATATATATATCTGATTTCCCATTAAATGGAAGATATGCAAGTGATGAAAAGAGACAAGTTGGCAGAAGAAGCATTCAGAGAAGATAGGCTTTCAGGTGAGCATAGATAAAACAGAGGTGATGATGAAGATTCCTGGTCAACACCAACAGCAACAACAACAGACGACAGACAACAATCAGCCAGCATAAATGGGAGAAATCTGAAAGAAGAAACCTCCTTTATCTACATACCGACCTATCTGGGAAGCATCGTTTCAACTACAGGCGGACAGAACTGGTGAGGATATCAAAGCAGTGAGGATCGGGAAAGCAAGACAAGATTTCATTAATCTCAAGTCTGTGTGAAGGTCAACAGCACTCAGAGTGAAAAATAAGATCCGGATTTTCAACTCCAATGTGAAGTCAGTCAGTGCCACAATATACGGATCAGAGACTTGGCGCCACGTCACGCAGGCCACTTCGAACAAACTACACACCTTCATCAACAACTGTCTTCGCTTAATACTACCCAAGATCAGATGGCCGGCCAGAAAAGTCTACAACAAAGATGGATCTCTGGCAATGAGCAAACTAACCCAGCAGGAACCAACTGTGCAAAAAATATGCAGGATGATATGGACATGGATTGGCCACACTCTGAGAAAACAAACCATCAAGTCAGCGACATCACACACCAGGATTTTGGTCGAGTGGAACCCAACCGAATAGGAAGCGGCGAGTTGGTCGTTAGTGCTAGGGTGACATGTAGGAAGAAGAGGTGATGTGAAGAGGAGATGAAAGCATGTGGGCAGACGTGGAGCCTGGTGAAAAGGTTGGCAGAGAATCGAACGCAATGGAGACATGTGACTGAAGCCCTTTGTTCCTCTAGGAACTAATTATTTATTATATTATATCCTTTAATTCCTAGAGGAACATACGGCTTCAGCCGCCCAAGTCTCCATTGCCTTCGGTTCTCTGCCAACGTTTTCATCCCGCTCCAAGTCTGCCCACATGCTTTTATCTCCTCTTCACATCACCTCCTCCATGTCACCCTTACACTGACGACCAACTCGCCGTTTTCCTTTTGGGTTCCACTTGAACGGTGGCCTGTCTAGTGATGTCACTTGATGCTTTCCTGAGAGTATGGCCAGCCAATCCATCTCCATTTTTCCTGCCTATTCGCTACACAAAATTTAGCCTTCGCGGATGGTTCAAGTTCCCTGTCAAACAAAGTTAAAGACCTGTGAACGAAAACCAAACGTGTGGTATGGATAAGGATACCAATGTCAGGAAGGATCGGAAGACATGTCTTCATTAACTTGAAGTCAGTGTGGAAATCTACTGCAGTCAGCATAAGGAACAAAATCTGGATTTTCAACATTGGTATCAAATCAGGACTTCTGTATAATTCAGAAACTTGATGTGCCACTTTGAACTTACAACAACATTTACACTCCCCCATCCATATTGAAGATCAAATGGCTGGAAATAAAAGATAAACAACAAAGATTTCTGGTTGCGAAGTTGCCAAGTTCCTTTTTGGTAACAAATATTCAGAATGAAAAGAAGGTGAATTAGGCACATACTGAGGGGGCCACTGAGATCATCAATGACATCAGTGACATCACGCGCCAACACCTCTAGAGGAACGCTACTGGAAGACGACGAATCGAGCATTGGAGTATGAGCTTAAGGACACGAGAGACAACGGACAATCGTGAAATCAGCTGAAAAGCACTGGAAAGAACAAAATGAAATGCGCTAGATATGCTATTGAACCCCTACCTTTTGCTTAGAAATCAAAGTGGTAGTAGTGATTACATAACATAACATTGTACTATTACTTGGTTAAACCGTAGTGAGAGCTGTCTGCTAGCCAAAATTGTAGACAACAATTTACGTCAATGTTTACTCCCGAATCAGGGTCATGAGAAAAAAAGCAATAACAAAGCTTAACCTTGAGGAACTCAAAAACCAATCACAGAAGACTTAACGCATGCAAATACGATTCATAGATATATGGCCTAACTTTCTAAGCAACGGCCACAAAGAGATGACAGAATAACCTTCAGCGAGAAAATGGCCAATCAGAAGACTCTCTTTCTCTGCTAATGATGACGAATAATAATGTACATAAAAATCTATAAATATCTGTTGATTTTCTCAATAAACGATCTGCTGCCTGGCCTGCCTTGTCTTCTGTCGCAACAATACTATTGGTATAAGATTTAATAATATGATAACAGTTAGAATATCATTCCTATGGGTTCCGAGTGGAACATACGGCTTCCTTAGCGCATCTCCACTTCACCAGGTTCTCTGCCATCCTTTTTAGCTCGCCCCAGGACTGCCCATAAGCTTTCACAGCCTCTTAACACGAACTCCTCCACGTCATCACTGGACAACAGAAACGTCATTTCAGGTTTTACTCCAGGGTCTATCACGTGATATTACTCAGCTGTCTCCTTGGAATTATCCATTCTATCTCCATTTTCTTCGACATATCTGTTAGGCGATAGGTTCCTGGTTGATTTGCTGCTTGAACTCTTTGTTGCATATCCTTTTTTGTCAGCCATTCTATTCATCACTACTATGGAGTACATGGCAGTCGTGGATTCGAATCCACAGAAGCCTACTGCAAGTACTCTTCGTGGCACACATGCCAAGTCTTTGAAAAACAGAATTCTATTCCTTATCCTGAATGAAGTGGATTTCAGATCACTGATTCCAGAATAATGAAGGTCTCTCTGACTTTACGATCCTGACTTTAACCTGATTATCTTTGCCGCATGTAGTTGAAACAACGCTGCTCAGATAAAGGGAAGAATTGACTTCCTTCAAATCTCTGTCTTTGATAATGAATAGCGCCTACTGTTGTTGTTGTTGTTCCTCATCTCTGTTTCCTCTGTGTGTTCACTTGACGTCTTGCCTCGTCTTCCAATTTGTTAGTTTTTACCTGTCGACATTCAAGTTTGTACGAAATCAGAAGTTAATTGTCAGCGAAGACCATATCTGCTAGGATCTATTTCTGCGTTCAACGTCTGCCTTTCTTCTCGATCCCCACAGTCTGCAGCATGATCCAGTCGACCACAGTCAAGAGTGTCATAGATGACATCAGGACAATTATATCAGTGGCATTCAGGTATATTGCGTTTCAGAGAAACTTAGAGAATATAAGACTTCGACAAAATATCTGCATGACCGTGTACTCATTTGGAGAGCTGATTGTTCTACATTCCTGATAGAATATATTGATAACTGAGGACCATCAAAAACAATCAGAACAGGAATAAACAGCCAACCAGTACTCCTTAGTATATGACAGTTCTGTTGACATCAATATCCGATAAGTAATACCATATAACTAATGAATTCACCATGAAATCTATAGATAATTTGATGGTTTAATCGCAAATTGACCTAATTTACCAGAGAAGAGTTGAAATCCAAAGACTAGTGGAGAGTCATTTCGTCCTAGTTTAGCACTCCTCATCAGGACACACCTATGTCCTTCAAATTATAACCTCTGCTAGTTTAGCAAACACACAGTGAATAACTTTTAATATTAGAGGTTAACTGGTGGATGGTGACTAGCGGCAGTGGAATCCAGGATAACGCGCAATTCATCCTGTTTGGGAGACGTCCGTCAGCTGGATCTACCTGCATTCCTCAGTGAGTGATGATGTTCTCACCGAGGCTCGAACCCCGTGGCCATAGTTTCAAACGCCAAAGCGTTATCCACTAGACCACTTGGGCCACGAGAGTCACCTCGTGTACAACAGGTCATATTAATTATTTAGTTGAATTTTTAGATTTTCCCGTCGATTGAATGGACCGAAACTATGGGAACTGGGTTCGAGCCTCGGTGGGAAAATCATTACTCACTGAGGAATGCAGGTACATCCAGCTGACGGACGGGTCCCAAATAGGACCGGTGAAATGCGCGTTATCCTGGATTCCACTGTCTCTAGTCACCATCGATCAAAATAGCCTCTAATTACATGCTCAGTTATCGTCGAAGAAGCATCTGCCCAAGAAGCCGACAGACATGTCAACCTGAGACCGAGCACTTCGGTCCAGTCAGTCGAGGGGGAAATCTAAAAAATTAAGTTAAACTGTTTCAAATGTTTACTGAACATATGTATTAACCAGTATTCCCCCCCTCCTTTTATTTCCACTTACTTTTTCACAGTTTCGTACTCTACTCAGTCAAGAATTAGCTGCATCATTCAACCAACCAGATATTGACATGAACAAAGAATCTTCAAAGAAGACATCAAACATTTTTTCTTCTGCTGTTGCTGCTGCTGCTGCTACTTCTGCTGCTTTACCCCTTGGCATTCATGCATCCGATGATTCTAAACCAAAATCGTCAACGTCATCTTCCTCATCCGGAGATCAAATCGACTATAAAATCTCCAGTAAAATGAGTCAAATGCAACGACGTAAACAACAATTCGCTAAGAATTCAACTTCACAAGTTTGTGAATATATTTGTAGAACATTTCTTGAAGAAGATGATGATGAGGTTGAGGTTGAGGTTGTTGGTCTTTCAGGAGATACAACAATGTCTTGGAAGTCAACAAGTGAAAAGTCTGTATACATAAATAGTCCAAAGTTAAAGCTTCGATTTGGTGAGAAACTTGATGAAATGAATGAAAGTAATGAGTCACCAGACTCACCAACAACAACTACTACTACAACAACAACACCAGCAGCAACAACAACAACAACTGAAACAAGAAGAAAAAGTTCCACGTCATCACTGTTAACAACAGCAGTAGTGACAACTGAAGCTGGAACAGTAACCACGGTTAAATCTACCTCTTCTTCATCCCCACAAACTGGTTTTGTGGATATTTTATCTTCAACTATTCAGCTGATCACATTGAATGTTGAATTAATTGATAATTCAAAAGTTGAGAAGGTAAGATTTGAAAAAAAGGCGCTTTATTAGGGGTCATGTTTTAATATTTATTATTCGGGTGGGGATAAACGTCCTCTTGGAGTAATTTCGTACTTCCATATTAGTTTGCTTATTAAATGTATCACACAGCTAGTAAAACAGTATTATTTACTGGATGACACAGTTTCGAATAAAATTTATTACTGTTCATAATCATCCCATCAATTATAATCACATGACTTCGAAATCTGAGTTTTATAGTAACCTTTGTTCTCTCCTATTCGCCATCGTAGGGGTAGCAGAATTTTCCAGATATCTGAGTGAACAGGTATTGAATCATCCCTATTACACATGTTGGTTTGCAGTTGATTCGATAAACAAAGCTTACGTTATCAATCTCTCCCTCCATACTGCTGTGATATTAGATTATTAAACTGTCATCCGATCACATCTTATTGCATGGTTGTGTGCAATTTGATGTAGTGAGTGGTATAGCTGGACTATTCTCTAAGCTTCTTATCTTTTTCGGGTCAACTAATCTAGATTTTACTGCTAGGCTTTTATGCTCGGCTAGTCTGATTGTCCCTATGTTTTTGACCTAACAATCATTCCAGCAGGGTATTAGATAAACTAAGTTGTTTTGTTTCAAAGGCTCCACAGGATTGATCCTTCAACCGACAAAGCTTGTCGTTAATTGAGTTTGAATGCCAGCCACTTTTATCCCTACCTGTATTGTTAAGAATTCTACGTAAGGTGGTTTCCGAGGTTCCTTCCTTGTATGGAATTACTATTGATGATTTAGACTCCTTATTGCTGATGTTGTCATTATCCTGAGCGTGATTGGCATGCATGTAGCCATTAATATTATTATTATTATTTATATCACTATCAGTACTACCATTATTTGTTTTATTTTAACATTTAACTGCATATTTCCTGACTAATTTATCAGGGCAATTATTTAGTTTCAAAGCTTTTTCTTATGTGCCTCACTTCCTGTCTTAGATTTTCCTTGGTACTACATAGTTTTTATGCTCTGTCACTTAAACATTTCACTAATCCTATTTTTACTGACATAGGATGTGATGATCGGAAATACAAACATCTGTTTGAATGTGTCAGTGGGTTTCCTGTAAACACACTAGTGTGTTTAACTTCCCATCTTCTTTCCTTTTACGCTACATTCTGACACTGTCAGTTTCCCCTTCCTGACTTTCCAATTCACAAGTAAATTAAATTGCCTCCACCTTTGAGGCAAAAATCTATCTATATCTTGTGTTCTAAGTACAATGAACGTGTCATCTACATACCTTCAGCATACTTTTGGTGTGGGGCTGAACGTTTCAACTGCTATGTTTTCCCACCTATCCATGAATGTAATATAATTTCGTACTTATGGTATAGCTAATGCCACAATAAATGTTCTAACTGTGTAAACAAAAGTCGATAACACACCCTTAAAACTGCTTAACGTAACATATGGCATGATTACAGTATTTCTCGAAACATGTAATAAGAAATCACATAAGACTAACTAACTACCTAAAGAAATTCACATGGAAGTTGACGGTCCCTGTTCTGCATATTCAGGTTAGCTGAAATAAAATCGCGACAAGTATGTTTTGCTATAACTTATGCACTCATTGTTCTATTCTTTAAAAAATCGCTGAGATAATTTTGATGTGGTCGTGCTCACTGAGCGCTGGATAGTTTATTTGAGAAGCTTTCATTGCCCCCTACTTACTAGGCAACAGCTTCCTTCAGAGCATACTTCAATTTTAATTGAAGTGAGCTTTTAGATGTCTCCACGAGTTAATTAATCATCTCTCCTGGTGACCTTGGACGTGATTGGTTGTCTTTTATGGGTTTTCACACCTTCTAGGGGCTACTTGTATTGGAACCGATTGTTTCTTTGACTTGAACTTTAACCCTTTGTGTATGAGACTTCCTTCTTATCGGTTGATATATTTTGTCTATATCGATGTGTCTATAGATTGATGATTCACTGGAATACGAGACAGACTTCTAAAAGTTCTCTAGCATTCTAGGGAATTTCTTCTGTCTAATATTTGAACGTTGGTTGTTCCAGTCGAATTGATGTCCGTGGCCATCTGTATGTAGTGATATGAGGGCTAGCTTACGTTCATGGATACGAAGACGAGGAGAACGTTGTCCACTTTGGCCAATGCAGTGTTTTTCTCCGTTGCTACAATTTATTTTGTAGATGATGTTGGTTTTATCTTCTTTCGTTGTTGAGTCTTTTGGTTGACATCGAGCCAGCTGAGTGAAGTGATTTTGTTGGTTTGTGTGCGACGTCAATTCCTAAAGGTCTGAAGAGTGTTGCAGTGATTTCTGAGATGTCCTTTATATATGGTAGGGTGATTTTCTTTGTGCTTTACTTGGGAGCATTTGATTTGATAGGTTGACTTGAGGGTATAAGTCTTTTGATGAAATTCCATGGATATCGATCCATTCTTTTGGAAGACGTCCATGAGATATCTTTCTTCAATTTCCTTTAAGTTGGGAGTGCTTCAATGAGTCCTGGCTGGCTCTCTTGAATAGTGTTGGATGAAATGCATAAACCTATGCCTAACAACGTACTACCGATTCAACGACCAAATTTATGAACAAGTCAAAGGAACACCCATGGGACCGCCAATATCAGGTTTGATTGCAGAAGCAGCGATGCAAAGGCTTGAAAACATGATCCTACCAAAGATTAAACACAAAATTTGGATACGTTACGTAGATGACACATTTGTAATAATTAAAAGAAACGAGTTAGATGAGACTCACAACTTAATAAAAAAAAATGCCGTCAACGACATTAAATTCACAAGAGAAGAGGAATCCCAGAAACATATCCCATTTTCGGACGTCTCAAACAAGCGAACAACCACAGAGGAATTAGAAACTCAAGTTTATAGAAAATAACCTAGAACGAACCAGTTGAAGAATTACAACAGCAACAATCCAATAACACACAAACGCAGTTGTATACAAACACTATTCAAGAGGGCCAGCCAGGAATCATTGCACCTCTTCCACCTCAGCGGAAATTGAGGAAAACTATCTCGTCGACGTTTTCCAAAAGAGTACAAAGCTTCTGTGCTTTTTGAATAAAGCGAGAACAACATTGATTTGTGCAGAATAACATGGTACCATCATTTATTTCGTTGGCTTCTCGTCAGCTGCTTACAGCTGAACATGTGCCGAAAAGCCTACGTCTCAAGGGAACAAACTCTTATAGCAGCGCTATTACCAGACATCTCCTCGACACGGGTCATGAGGTGGAAATCGAGAAATCCTTCAAAATTATCAATAGACAAAGGAGCTCCATTCTCCTCAAGTTTGCCAAAGCAATTTCTATCAAACGCTTGAAACCAGATCTATGTGTTCAGAAAGAATCAGTTATTAGTCTTTCCTTGCCTTGGTAACTGGATGTCATTTTTCTCCCATCTGATTGCGTAATCCTTGTCTTTAACCTCACCCTCTTTTATATTCTGTAATTTTGCTTGTCTCTTGTTTCTATGATTTGAGTTCAACTCAATACATTGTTACCTAACTTATTAGTCACTTTGCATCTCTCATCTGATTGCGTAATTTCGTCTTTAACCTCACCCTCCTTTTATAATCTGTAATTTTGTTTGTCTCTTGTTTCTATGATTTGAGTTCAACTCAGTACATTGTTACCTAACTTATTAGTCACTATGCATCCAACGCACATCCCTTACCATTATATACATACATTTATTTATTATTTTTTAACTTGAACTGCCTGTGTAAAAACTATATAAGCGCAATTTTCTGAGCACTGTTTACTAGTTGTGAAACTTTCTGTCAACATGTAAAATTTGCAAGTACGTTAAAACGTTTCTGTAATTAAACCTGAAAATTTATTTAGGCTGTAAGCAGCTGACGAGAAGCCAACGAAATAAATGATGGTACCATGTTATTCTGCACAAATCAATGTTGTTCTCGCTTTATTCAAATTTATCAAGGGGAATAAATGCATGAAGCTTCTGTGCTTGTTACCCTTTGTCAGTAAGATGTCTTTATCACCTTGAAATAGTTTTTGATAATTCCAATGATTACAGGATTTCATCATGAGCTGACATCGGTTACAGAACCATTGGAAAACCACCAGAGAGTACTGGACAGCTGTTTCTACCGTCATAGTTTCTGACTTTTCTGCAGTACGTAGCTACACCGTGGGATTTGGACCAAAGACCTTCCAGTTACAAGACGAGCTCGTAAACCACTGAGCCATTGGGACCTGACCCGTTGGCCAGTTCACGAAATCCAACCAACTTCTGTCAATTCCCGATATAGTGTGATCTGCCCCAAATAATGTCACTGGTGGAGAGTATTTGTCCTCACACCCGACCAGATGGAACCCATTGATCACGAATTCCCACCAGAACCCACTTAACCACTTAACTGAATAGGGCTAGCCACTAGTAAATTTCAGATCCTGATATTTAAAGTAGGTGTCATTGGTCACTACATTTGGACTTTATCAAACCATATATAACTTTTTAAATCAAGCAACACATACACATTAGATCTTAGGAAACATCAAACAGTAGATACTTGCGGAGAAGAAGATTTTCTCTTCAACGAAGACATCAAGTAGTTAGCTGTACATTCACGTATATTTATAGTGAAGCTGGTGAGAAGCTCCTAGAACTATTTCCGCTGAAGGATCAAGTCAATAAAACTGCAAATAAGGATTGCGAAGCAATAATAAACTGAAAGATCAGATAGAAGCACAGTTGAATCATAAATACTGATAAAATTAACTTTTAGTGCAATCAGAGATTAAAAATGTGGTAGAAACAAAACAGGCACGAAGTTTGGATAAAAAGAAGACTGATGATGATTGATCATGAACTGACTTCGGTCACTATAGGACTACTGGAAACCAGTAGGGAGTATTGGGGGATGTTTCGTCTTTGTTTAGGACTCTTCACCATACCGAACTCATTACTCCACCAAGGACTAACCCATCAATAGTCATGTTGTGCGATTCCAAGTCACTATGAAATTCTTTTAACACTTGATGAAATGGTCACTGAGTACCTGAGACATTCTCCATTAAATGTTGTCAGTTTAGGCAGTTAATAGACAGATCAGCATTGTCAGATTTGAGAATTCTACATTCCTAGGTACAAGTTCGTCAGGGTTTCTATTGGCAACTAAAAATGTCCATTTCACGATGTTTACTTTGCTGGATATCAAGAAACCTAGCGAAATCACATAATAATAGTCCGACTTCGGAGGATTTGAATTGACTTGGCTTTCTGAGTTAAGTCAGTCTGCTCACATCTCTGATGAACTCATTCACAAACGCGTAAAACTGTGGGGAAAGTTGTCTACTAGCCAAAATTGTAGACAACAACTGACGTCAATATTTGCATCCCGAATCAGGGTTATGAGAAAAAACAATAACAAAGCTTAACCTTGAGGAACTCAACAACCAATCAAAGCACGCTTAACGTGTGTAAATACGATTCGCAAATATATGGCTTAACTTTCAAAGAAACAATCACAAGCAGTACAAAATAACCTTGAACAAGAAAACAACCAATCAGAAGACGCCGTTTCTCTGCTAATGATGACGAATAATAATGTACATAAAAATCTATAAATATCTGTTGATTTTCTCAATAAACGATCTGTTGTCTGCGCCCTTCTCTTTTGTCGTTACAGTATGTGCCGTCGTCATACGAGTCATTGAAAAACTTTGTACTTTTAACATTCATCATCCAGGTAGGAAGCAGCAAAAACATTTCAGATGCCTCAAATAGCTCATTTACTTAGAGGTTCTTTTTCATTTTCAAAAGAATGGATGGTGAACAGAGAGTACTCTTTTCGGTAACCCCTTCATCATCAGGCTCTACAGTTATATTTAAATTATAGTGAATGAATGAATGAATTAGAGTTATGAACAACATAATTGTTACTGTTTAAATAACATCAAATCAATAATATTGATAGATTACAGTTGAATAGCATCAAGATATAATAAGCTGAATGTCAGAAAAATTAGGAAGGATAATATTACAAATTCATGAATTTATAGTCTCTACTGGAGGCCGGCCAGGACAGTAGTAGTGGCTGGCTGGACTTGCTTCTTCTGCACACAAAGCACTGGTTGTTTCACATGAACTAGGATAGCCTCTGCTGTTTTGTGGATGTAGTAATTCGATGTTTTTGGTAATTTATCAGGCACCCGATATATGATAGAGAGGGATTCTTCATTGCTGGCTGGCTTTGTGGCCGGTTTGTACCAGATGGTTCAAGATCGAACTGTTAATGGTTTTGACTACACCTTTACTTAGCCATAGTGGGAGATGTTCTCGAGTGAGCACGAAAAATCAAGTTCCTAGAGCAACGGCTAATATAACTCACTCTACCACAAGCGTAGTTGAATTGGTAGATACATTTGGAAGTGGCTAGCTGGTCTAGGTACTTCATCTTTCAGTCGAGGTAGCACCATCGCTCTTGTAGAGAATAAGACTTGTAGTTCGCCAGCATTAAAAGTTCTTTGAACTGATTTTCTTAATTATCTCACTTTATATAAAAACGCCCTTAAATTATAGTTTATATAAAGTGGCTTCTTGTTTACAGATAGTGAGTAGTCCTTTTCCGCTCTCTTTGTCCTATGTTTCTTGATAAATTTTTCGGTACGGCTATTTTCAATCAAAGTATCATTTTGACAATTCTTTGCTTTTTTTAAAATCTCGATTTACAGTTCATCAGAGATAATCAATCGACTCTGGCACCAGATTTATTTCAGTTAGACCAGATTTCTAATCATCATCCTTTGAGTACACTTGGATTTTATTTATTTATGGTAAGTTAGTGAATTGAATTACTCTTTACAATTATGTGAATATGTTTCAATTCATTACCCGGAACAAATATCTTACATGTCACAATCTCCGTGCAAAAATTATTGAGTTAAGTAATTCCATATTATCACACAGTGAGTGTAACAGTATTATTTACTGGATGACACAGTTTTGAACACAATTTATTACTGTTCATAATCATTTCATCAATTATTATCACACGACTTCATAACTTGAGTTTTATAGTCTTCTTTGTTCTCTCCTATTTGTCCTCATAGGCGTGGTTGTAGAATTTTCCAGATATCTACGTGGACAGGTGTTGAATCATTCCCATTACACGTGTTGGTTTGCAGTTGATTCGATAAACAAAGCTTCTGTTATCAATCTCTCGCTCCACCCTGTTAGTTACGTTAGATTTTAAAACTGTCATCTTATCCCATTCCGTTGTATTGTATGATTGTGTGTGACTGCATGTGGTGAGTGCTACAGCTGAACTATTCTCTAGATTTCTTATCTTATTCGAGTCAGTCAATCTAGATTTGCTGCTAAGTTTTTATGTTCGGCTAGTCTGACTGACAAGCATGTCAAACATGCACAGAATACTGATAACATAAATAAATGACACGATATAAATCATCAGTAGTATTTCCATACAAGTAAGGAACCCGGAAACCATCTTACGCAGAATTCTTAACAATACAGGTAGGGATAAAAGTGGCTGGCATTCAACCCCCCCCCACACACACAAACTCAATTAGAAACAAGCTTTGTCGGTTGAAGGATCAATCCTGTAGAACCTTTAAAACAAAACAATCTAGCTTATCTAATACCCTGTTGGAATGATACCCTGTTGGTCAAATACATAGGTCAAACTAGTAGAACAGGGTCAGTTAGTCAGACTAGTCGAGCATAAAAACCTAGCAGTAAAATCTAGATTGGTCGACCCGAATAAGATAAGAAATCTAGAGAATAGTTCAACTATGGCAATCACTGTAAGCAGTTACACACAACCATACAATACGATGGGATGGGATCGGATGATAGTTTTAAAATCTGATGGCACAGGTTGGATGGAGGAAGAGATTGGTAACAGAAGCTTTGTTTGTCGAATCAACTGCAAGTCAACACGTGTAATAGGAATGATTCAACACCTGTCCACCCAGATATCTGGAAAATTCGACTACTCCAACGACGACAAGTAGGAGAGGACAAAGAGAACTACAAAATTCAAGTGTCGAAGTCGTGTGATTATCATTCATGTTATGATTATGAACAATAAATTTTGTTGGAAACTTTGTCATCCAGTAAATAATACTGTTTCACTCACTGTGTCATACATTTAATTAACTAATTAATATGGAATTACTTAATACCACAGTGCCCAATTTTACACATATTATTGAGTTAAGGAAATAATCAGCTGTTTAGGCTGAAGAGGGTTGAGCTGGATCTCAACCCGAGACCCATCAAGTGAAAGTTAATGAGCTGTTATGATCTGTATCGCTAATTTTTTATTGACCTAGCGCCAGTTGATATGATCACATCGACAGTTCAAATGACCAAGTAGAATTATGCGTGGCTGTAATAATACTGACTCCAACGGACAACTTAACCGAAATGCTAAATACGCCACCTATTCGTCCGTGATACCTTCTGCTTCATTGAGCCGCATTAATATCACAAAAGACAACGAGTGACCTATGGCTGTCAAGATACAATTTTATTAGGAAAAAGCGAGTCAATATTTATACATATTTTTAACCATATAAGAATCAGCCTAAGTCAGTGGAAATAAATTTTTCTGATTTGTAGACAAGCGGGCTAGTTCAGCGAAAGATAAACATTCTGATTAGTTGGCAATTTGACCAAGATCAAGATAAGAAAGAGATGGTGAAATTATTATACAGTCATCTGATCACATGACGAATCATACGATGATTACTGTTTTGTTTTTAGTCGATTCCTATCATGAGCATCGCATACCCCATATTTGAATATGCTTACTGAAGGTCTTCTTTTGCCTCGATTCCGAAGTTAGAAATTTAAAGACTGGAGACGTACAGGACTTAATACAACAGTAAACAGCTGCCTCCTACTTTTAGTACTAAAGATCAGAAATCCAGATAGAAAGGATAAGTAACAAGAAGCCCTGGGAGGGGTGGCCAGCCAGTCGACGAGCTACTGATCAAAAGATATTCACAAATAAATGGGGATTGAGTGAACATTCCTTAAAGATAAATTCAAATAATATCACACGACAAACTGTCGACTGGAATTCGAACAGAAGGCGATGATTTCAATGTCTAAGGATGATGCAGAGAAGATCATGTGAACAGAAAATGACAGATTGTTGGTAGTCATGGAACCAGCTGAAAATGTTGTCAGAGAATAGTGCACAATGGCGATGAGGGATTGAAGTCCCATGTTCCACTTAGTTGAATGAATAATTTTCAAGTTGTAGGATTTGTGAAGACTGTGTATTAATTTCTCTTGTTAAATCTCAATCACCAATCAATATCAGTTGTAGAGATCAGTGAAAATCAGGGAGCACTTACTAGCTTTTTCGGCCTATTCTGAGAGTCTTCAACAGTCAGCACCCACGACACCACCAAGGATCCAACCCGGAATTCATCAGGTTACGAGGCTGATCTCACTGAGGAAGTTAGATTCCAGGAGTCACTGGGTTCCACCCCAAGTGGGTGAATGGTTCACCCGCCTCGTTTGTAATCTGAAAGTCATTGGTTCAATTCCTGGTGGGGTCGTGAGTACAAATAGGACGAAACAGTTAATGGTTCAGTCCTCGCTGGCTTTCAGTGATGTCTTTAACTGATTTTGGTCGGTAACGAAAATCTAAAAATTGATAGATTATTGACTGTTGAATGGTAATATGATATCGTGATAACTTCAATATTGTAAATTTAACCATAGTTACCACTACAAATGGGATGAAACAGTCTTCTCTGTCCTTGATTGATTTTTTTTCTCTGGTTCTTTATGAGAACCACCTATTGACATCATTCATGCCTGTCATTATCAAGTCTATAGTTAATGCTGTGTTACTAAAACCTGAAAAATTGGATTCATATTGTGACGTGTGCTACTAATAACTTTTGTCAATAGTATACAAAAGAGACATTCATCGACATAAGAATATCTAATAGTGGAGAGATAGATTTGACGTCAAAGAGACCAAATGAACCAGTGCATTGCGACAAAACATGAGAGATATGAAAAGAGGAAAAGCAAACACAACACGAAAGGCAGAAGTACAAAGGAAGAACAACACAGAAGATCTGTACAAACGACGATTTTCAGATATAAGATGTACATAATTTCGATATATAGAGATACCAAACTTCAATTAAACATCCCATTACCTAGTCTTTTATCTTCTACCTTTGCAATATTATCGAATGGAACGAATCAGTTAGATATTTCTGAAGGGTATCTACCATTCCACACCTTCGAAAATAAATCAGCATACACTGTTTTAGTCTAAATACAAATACTATTGTGGTGAGAGCAGGCTGCTAGCCGATTGGTTGACACTAAGCTACGTTAATATGGGCCGTGAGAAAATATGAACAAGGCTGAGTCAACAACTAATCACAGCAGACTTAACGTGCCAAAATATGATTCGCAGATAGAGAACTCTATTTTTCGAGGAATCCCGAAACAACCAATCAGAAGCCTGCGTTTGTCTGCCTAACTTCTGATAAACAACCAATCAGATGACTGCGCTTGTCTATAATAATGTATGTGAAATATGTATAAATACGTGTTGATTTTCATAATAAAACGATCTGTTACCTGGCCCTTGTCTTCTGTTGTTACACTATCAGTGAATTGTTTTCATTCGAAATGTCACTTATGAGGCCTCTTTTCAAAGAAATCACCAAAGACAAAACTTGATGTTGTACCAGTCAATAATTCGTAGATATCGTTGAATGGTCAATAGAGAAGACAATCTGATCATTGTCACCGTCTTTAAATGCTTACCATTTAACCTGACTGACAGAATTCAGTCTGCATCGACACGAAGGACTGAAAGCACGAGATGACTTACTTGCCACTTAGTGCCAAGTGAAAAGACTTGAATTCAGTTGATGAGACACTCAAATGAGATATGCGTCACTGGTGGCAAGAAATGGAATGGATTAACATGTCTGATTTCTTGTTTTTGAAACAACTAGTTCCCTTTATGAATTCCGATAAAAACGATAGGTAGATAGAGTGTTGTATTTGAATCATGTACTATTAGATAGTTGGAGGCAGTCGGCCACAGGAAACCCAGCCTTGGACCTAGGTTTCGTGCTAGTTGGCACTCACCAGCCAGTCAGCAAGGCGTATCTGCAACCTTGAAGGAACTCATGTCCCTGCTTCTGAGATTCGAACCCGCACCACCCAGTGGGTACTGCTGTCAAAAACGTTACCACTGAGCCAGCTATTCGGGCTCGTGATTGACCTCCTGTAGGACTGTACTGCATACTTTGGTTGGACATTAGTAACTAGTGTGCTGTGTCTAGTCCTATCTTCACCACAGACTGAATTCTGTCAGTCAAGTTTTTTTAATGTGGCCACCATTCTAAGTAGCTCGACATCGCAGTGCACATTGATTTGATGGTATTAGATGGTTTGAGACAATCGGCCACAGGAAGCCTTGAACCTTGGGTTTCGTGCTAGTTGGCATTTGTCAGCAAGGCGTATCTGCAACCTTGAATCGTGTAATGTTTATTTGTGCAACACATTTCGAATAATCTGATCACATAGGTACTTGTCATAAGAATATATAGATTCAAATAATAAAGCATTGAAGGTCCAAGTAACAAAGGAGATCAATGTAGCAAAGAAAAAAGAAATATTAGTAGAACTATTCCGGTATCAACCAAGAACACATTGTTTATGAAATGTCCAGAAGAAAATACAGATGTTTCGGACAAACATTAAAGGAAACTGTCGTATGACATAGGGCACCAGGCATAATCTCGAGTGGAACTTGAATGAGAAACGACAAGTTGAGCATCACTGTAAGAGTGACATGGAGAAGGTCGTGTAAGGTGGAGATGAGAGACTATGTGGAGTCGTAGGGACAGCTGAAGAGGGCCCCATAAAACAGGACGAAGTGGAGATATGCTGATGAAACCCTATATTCCGCACGCAACCCAAGGAAACAACAACAATAATCCTGGCATCAAAACAAAACTTACCTAAAAGAGTTTAATATGATGATAAATTTATTTGAATAAATAAGGGTGGCCTAAACATCCTAGTCACTAGGGCCTCTACAAACTTAAGCATAGATGTGTAAACATCGATTTCATGCTTTGTAACTATGCTATGCTTCTGAATGGGAGATCTAGGCAGGCGATTTTCACCGCTAATGGGTTAAGAGGATTCGATTTGCTTTTGAAACCTTTCAAAGATATGCTCAGAAGCACTTACTTGGAGAAATCGACTGATATGAGATGAGAGGTGTCAATGTTTACGTCCCAAATTGGGGTCGGGAGAAGAAAAACAATTACTAAGCTTAATCTTCAAGAACTCACCAACCAATCACAGAACACTTAACGTGTGCAAATACGATTCACAGATAGATGGCTTAACTTTCTAAGAAACGGCCACAAAGAGGTGACAGAATAACCTTCAGGAAGAAAACAACCGATCAGAAGACGTTTCTTCTCTGATAACAATCATGCTAATAATAATAATAATAATGTACATAAAAATCTATAAATATTTGTTGATTTTCTCAATAAACGATCTGTTGCCTGGCCTGCCTTGTCTTCTCTCGTTACACATCCTCCCTAGTTTTTGTGTTGATCTGTCAAGAAAGCAGGACCTGTTAGACACCGTCATAGTGATTGTGAATCGATCTTACATAACGATCTAATATTCAAGTATAAAGTGGTATCAAGAGGTCGAGTGATAAAATTTCTGGGATCTAATCATTGTTCATCACGCATCTGCACTTCTATATATGTATAAGCTCAATTCGCCTTACAATTTACATCTTGATCTACTCTGTTTCCTTTTCTTTTTTTCTTTGTATTTTACAGAAAACCAATTTATTACAAAAACTTTCTATTCCTCCAGTAACAATGTTACATTGTCTTAGATGTATTGAATCCAGATATAATCCCAGTGCTCCGTTTCATAATTCAATTCATGCCTTGGATGTTCTACATGCAACTTATCAGCTATTTCAATGTAACAATTTAAAGGTAAGTTCAATATCTGATTGAATAAAAATGGCTGAAAAGAATAAGACAAAACACGAATAATGGTTAGATGATTAAATTCAACAATTATTATTGTTTATACGAGTTGATCATGAATTGATTGATATCAGTTAGATTTTTATTATTATATCCTTTGATTCCTGGAGGAACATAGGGCTACAGCCGCCCAAGTCTTCATTGCGTTCGGTTCTCTGCTAGAGTTTTCACCTGGCTCTAAGTCTGCCCACATGCTTTCATTTACTCTTCACATGACCCTCACAGTGACGACCAACTCGCCGCTTCCCTTTCGAGTTCCACTCGAGCAATGGCTTGTCTAGCGATGTCTCTTGATGGTTTGTTTTCTCATAGTATGGTCAGCTAATCTACCTCCATTTCTTCCTGCCTATTTCTTGTACAATCGGTTGCTGCTGGGTAGGTTCGCTCCCAGATATCCCTATTACTGATCCTCTCTGGCCATCTGATCTTGAGTATTGAGCGAAGACAACTGTTAATGAACGTCTATAGTTTGCTTGAGGTTCTCTTTATGACGCGGTGCCAAGTCTCTAATCCGTATAGTAGTGTAACAACAGAAGACAAGGGCCAGGCAACAGATCGTTTTATTATGAAAATCAACACGTATTTATATATATTTCACATACATTATTATAGCTTATGCAAGTAGACAAGCTCAGTCTTCTGATTGGTTGTTTATCAGAAGTTAAGCAGACAAACTCAGGCTTCTGATTGGTTGTTTCGGGATTCCTCGAAAAATAGAGTTCTCTATCTGCGAATCATGTTTTGCCACGTTAAGTCTGCTGTGATTAGTTGTTGAATCAGCCTTGTACATATTTTCTCACGGCCTGCTCTCACCACAGTAGCACTGACTTCACATTGGAGTTGAAAATCCGGATCTTATATTTCATGCTGAGTGCTGAGTGTTGATCTCCACACAGACTTGAGAGAAATGAAAGCTTGTCTTGCTTTCCCGATCCTCACTGCTTTGATATCCTCACCAGTTCCGTCCGCCTGTAGTTGAAAGGATGCTTCCCAGGTAGGTCGGTAGGTAAGTAAAGGAGGTCGTTTCTTTCAGGTTCCTCCCATTTATGCTGGCTGATTGTTGTCTGTCGTCTGTTGTTGTTGCTGTTGATGTTGGCCAGGAATCTTCATCACCTCTGTTTTATCTATGTTCACCTGAATTTCTATCTTTGATGCTTCTTCTACATCCAACTTGTTGCTTTTCACTTGCATATCTTCCAATTTGTGGGAAGTCAGACACATATCATCAGCGAGGTCCAGATCCTCCAAGTTTTTTGTGTGGGTCCATTTTATGCCTGTTTCTTCATTTCTTGCTGTCTCTTGCATGATATCAGTTAGAGAACCATTGAAAAACACCACTGAAGTATTGGACAGATGCTTCGTAAAAACAAAACTAACCCTTACAAACCAACCATAGAAAATTAATCTGATGCTCGCTATTGACTTGCTACAGGATGGAGTTTCCTGGAGTTCTAGCTAGAAATCGTGACCGTTGAGGTCCAGCCAGTCAAGTGTATGAGGATGAATTTCCCACCGGTGACATTGGTTGGTGCTTGTCGCACTAAATCACGAATTGATAGAAGTTAGAATTCATGCACTGGTAATCGAATCGCGTCCCAGTGACTGATTTGTATACGAGCTTGCCTTGTAGCCGGGATGTCCTGGCTCAAACACCTTGCGGGGCGGGTGGGCGTACTGCCGATGATTCCCGTACTAGAATGAAACAGCCATCCAGTACTCCCTGTGGCTGGCTTCTAACAGTTCTCTCACTGATATCAATCCATGATCAACTCGTAAAAACAAAACTAATCCTTACAAACCAAACTATAGAAAATTATTATTTATGTTTCATCCCTTGGTTTCCAAATGGAAAATAGGCCATCAACAGCATATCTCCATTTGACCTTGTTCTCAACAGTCCTTTTCATCTGGCTCATTGATCACTCATTACCTCTTATCTCCTTGTGACTCCATCTCCTCAATGTCATAGTCAGACCTATACCCAAATTTATTTGCATATCTCTTCAGGGTACGTTCCTTGTCATACATCCTCCTTAGTGGTCATCTGATCTACAGTATGGAAAGAAGATAGGTCTTGATCAAAGTATGAAGCAACCTGTAGTAATTTATTATAATCGTAGTATTAGTATTTCGAGATGACCGAATTACAAGAATCCAACCAAAACACAGAGAGGGCGGAATTCAGGAATTTGTATTTAGCGGAATTCTAATGCAATTCATATATGAAACATATAAGCAATCAACAGTAAGTACTTAAACAATACAGAGATAGAAATTGTCAATCACCACATCCGCCACACGTCGAATATCTCCTTGCGTATTTATAACGATGTCTCGGTTTGCTTGCAAGTAGCTGCGACCTTCTAACTGATTCTGTGATATTATCTTCATCACTGTTATCTGGACTTATTTCAGAATTATCTACAAAATCAGGATTAGTAGCGGAATCATTAAAATAATAATTGGAACGACCTACTTCATTTATTGTCACTTTGTCCAGGTGTCTGTTATGAACTGAGTGATCTTTGATGTCTAATATCTTCACCACTCGATTTCCCATTTTTTGTAGTATAATTCCAACAGAAGGTCTGTAGTCATTCCCTTTGTAATAATGTACATTAGAAGTCGTGGACATCAGATGCTTTCTGAGAATTCGAGATTTGAAAAGTTTTGCAGGACTTTCACGGGTACTTGTATGCTCTGCATTCAACAGACGCAGTCTATGCATATGCAACAATTCCTCCATTTTAATCAGTTGCTCTCTCATCTCATTCAGTTTTTTTGTGTTTTCGACAGTTCGCATTGTAACTCGGCTACCTCATTTTTGAAAACAGTTGACGCTTGAGTTGCTGAACTTGTAGTGGAGGTTTTCATTGGATGAGATTGAGTATTTTGAAAAGTTGAAAGACACATTGACTCCATTTTACTAGACAGATTGGGAGAATTATAAGAATGTTGAGTAACATAAGTATTCGAACTTCTGCAAACAGTCTTGATGTGTCCAACTTTACCACATTTATGACACTTAGCACCCCGAAAACGGCAAGTGCTTCGTAGATGTAACTTTCCACAGGAAAAACACGGTTTAATGTTTTTGATCTCTCGCTGCATTCTATTACCTGTGGACGACAGTTTGGATTGCTTTCCATGACCACTTGTATTTTCGACTTTGGACAGCATGACATCAGATACTGACGTAGTGGGAGCAGAGTATTCACTGTTGACATCTTCATATGTAATACATAAATCTTTAGCAGTTTGAAAGGTACAAGAAGGAATCTGAATTAACTCTTTCTCTAACTTAGGAATATTGATTCCAGCAATTAGACGATCACGTAGTTGAGTATGCAGCTGATCTCCAAAGTTACACTTTGAAGCTTGAATTTGAAGTTGAAGAATGAAGTCTCTTATCTTCTGATTGGGAGCACGAACCAGTTTGTTGAATTGAGCCCTCTCTCGTGTCTCAAAAGTAGTTATATGGAAGTGATCTATCAGAAGTTCACGGAGTTTATAATATGGCAGAGAAATTGGTTTATCTGGAAACGACAGAGTCTTCACTAGGCTATATGCATCTAGCCCAATAGCAGTGATGAAATGTGCTGGTATTTTGTCATCCCGAACATTCTTTGAAATGCACCACGCATCGAAGCATTCAAAATAATCAGCAATCTCCCGCGGAGAACCATTAAGAGGAAATTTTCCCAGGTTATTTAGTTCCATCGCGACGCCAATTTGTTGTAATTAATTGTAATCGTAGTATTAGTATTTCGAGATGACCGAATTACAAGAATCCAACCAAAACACAGAGAGGGCGGAATTCAGGAATTTGTATTTAGCGGAATTCTAATGCAATTCATATATGAAACATATTAAAAATCAACAGTAAGTAGTTATACATAAGTAAAACACAGTTTTGTTCAGCGAAGAAATTTCTTTTCAACGACTTCATTTTCAAGCTGTACAGTCATATTTATATTACAGAAAAAGGTTATTAAGTGGCACTAAATAATTGCTCAGTCAATGTACGTACATGTGATAAAAGTTATAAGGGGTAGAGTTGAAGTGGATGAATTGTAAAAATATTAAAGATTGTTCTATAACAAAAATGTCAAGTGTTGTCTAAACATTTTGAAAATTAGGAGTACGATCACGATAAGAATGAAGATGTGAAGTGAGGTGGAAAGAATTCAAGTGGTAAAATAAAATAAAAACTAGAAAGAAAATTATTATGACCAAGGTAAAGAAAGGGGTTTGACAAAACGCTTTTGAACACATAATTTAGGTTTCTGTTCATGTATAGCTAAAGCTTAGGCTAGCTATGCATAAGTGAAGAAAACGTAAACTTTCGGATCGATTCGAATTTGCCATGTAGATAACTTTGAAAGATGAATCACGTGGGGCTAAATGACCAGACTCTAACAGGTGATCACAAATAGACGACTTTGCAGTTCTACGTTCGCCTTTCATTAACCAAATCGGATAGTGTTCAGCTACACGTTTTCGGAGATTACGCTTACAACGTCCAATGTGCATTTACTCTTTTACTTGCTCTTGTGGAGCTGTTTATGTTGGACGTTGTAAGCGTAATCTCCGAAAACGTGTAGCTGAACACTATCCGATTTGGTTAATGAAAGGCGAACGTAGAACTGCAAAGTCGTCTATTTGTGATCACCTGTTGGAGTATGGTCATTTAGCCTCACGTGACTCCTCCTTCAAAGTTATCTACATGGCAAAATCGAATCGATCCGAAAGTTTACGTTTTCTTCACTTATGCATAGCTAGCCGAAGCTTTAGCTATACATGAACAGAAACCTAAATTATGTGTTCAAAAGCGTTTTGTCAAACCCCTTTCTTTACCTTGGTCATAATAATGTTCTTTCTAGTTTTTATTTTATTTTATCACTTGAATTCTTTCCACTTCACTTCACATCTTCATTCTTATCGTG